CCAATTATCAAAATTTTTAAAATTAAACTAATTTTTATAACAAATCTTCATATTTTTGATCTTTTCTTGCACATTTGAATTCCACCACCAACTATTTTTACTATTAGGAGCTTTTCCCTTTGATACTCCAAGCACATCTTTTGTAATATTCTTAATATCACTAGCCATATTTTCTCACATAACATTAGCATCCTTATGCACAGACAAAATCTTAAGATCTAAAATCTTACTTTTAAAAATATTTTTGTTAATATTCTTTAAATGCCCCCATCTAAAGAATCTTTCTTTTATTAGGATGATAACACTTAAAAGAAAGATTGCCCATCTTTTCTTTCATTTCCAAAGAAATACGATTGGGGGGCTAATACGAATCCCTCAGGTAAAATAAGAACCGCTCCTACATTCAAAGCTCCTTATATATATATATATATATATATATATATTTAAGTTATTTTGATATTTGTAAAATGTGATGACTATTTAACTAAGAATTTGACATAGAACCCTTAAAAGTTGATAAGATATGTTTTGACCTACAGTAGTCAAAAATATTTTAGGAGTCATTATAAGTTCAATTTATAAATCGCCTTCTCTATATAATAGATTTAGTTCAAAGTTCATTACCCCTTTTATGTTGAGAATGTAGGTCTATTTATAGTTTTCAAAATTGGCATTTTAATAAATCTAGTAGAAATTTGAAAACACTTTGTTTGATAGTTCGTGTTGATCTTAATAATCATAAATTATTTTTTTAATATTTATATCTTAATTATCTGATAATTTAGTGATATTGAGCTTATTAGATTCCTCTCAACATGATGCTCATATTTATTGTAAGCATCTGAGATTTAAATTTAATCCTTCAATTAATATCACGAAGTTGCCAATTACACTTCATGTGCTTGATATTGTCTCATGGATTTATTTGGACTTCAATTAGAACACTGTGTTGTAGGGATCATCTCATCGAGATTTTCAATTCAACAATATTTGTTGAAATTAGATTTTCTATAGTCCTAATATTTAATTTGAAAGTTTTAAATTCAAAAACTACATAATATTTTATATTTGATCTGATAAATCTTCTTCTGATGACCCATCAAAATAAAATTTAAAAACAAAATCAATTTTATTTTCATTCATATATATAAATCCAATAATTAGCATTGTAGTCTGCTTAACAACTTTTTTTTTTGGGTATATGTAGGCGTGTCAATTTGGGTCAACGGGTCAGGTTTTGATTGAACTCAATTTGACCTGATTATAATCGAGTTGACGCTAACACGACTCGATTTGCAAACAGGTCAGGTTTGTAAACTCAGACTCGTCCTGTGCGTATTACCGGGTTGACACGACCCAACCCGCGGGAGCTATGGCCTAATGTGAGATCTGAGCGTTGGAGCATGCCTGCAAGGCTTCGAGCATGCTCAGCGCAGTGCGACTCCGTGGTTCAACGCGAGACTGCGGCCACAAGCCTACGACTACTCAAGGAGGGCGACTGGACGAGACTGCGGCTGCTAGTTTGCTATTACGCGAGGCGGGGTGACCAGCGCGGCTCTGCTGCTCCATGCTTTGACGGCCAATGCGAGAAGTGCCTCGACGGATGCGACAAGGTGCACCTGGTAATACCAATTGACACTTGGTAGCTGGGTCAATCATGGGTCAATTTTGGATTAATGGGTTGATCTGGGCCCGACCCATTTTTTAAATGTGTCAAAAATTGAAACTCGAACCTGACCCATTTGTTAAACGGATTAATCCTAACCCGAACTGTTCGGATCGGGTTGTCGGCCGGGTCGAGTCAATAATTGACACCACGAGGTATGCGCTGTTTTTTATATGAAAAGCATAGCAGCCTTTAAACAACTAGTTTCCATTATTTGGTTTTCCTCCGCTTGCTTTAATTTTTTAGTTTGCTTTTCTTTCAATGTAAAATCAAAGAAATATCAATGAAGGCCGAAGTCAACCTGATTTTTGCTGCCTAAAACATTAATTTCAGTGATATGATCCACAGTTATTTCAATCAATACTGAAAGATACTTTTCCTTGTAAATTATAAATAAAATTTTTACTATTTCTTTTAAAAATTGCATGATAAATTCTATTTTTAACTTTAATAAGCAAAACAATTAAAATACTTATTTTAAGAAAAAAATTTTCAGTCCCACCCTGATCAGATCTTTCTAGTTTCACATTGATCATCAATATATATAATTTAGATGTATTTTTCAAGCATTTTATATACTTTCTTCATTTCAAACATGAACGCACAACAATTTTCATTAGCTCAGGGAAAACTGAAATGATATCATATATAGAATTCATAAAAATAAAGTCCATACAATCATATATTTATGCCTTCATAACCAAAGCAAAGCTAATAATATGCGAGGATAGTTAAGAGTACACGCTACTTCTAAGACAACAAATCAAGCAAACTGCTCCACCACTAAGCATCAATCCAAATAAAGCAATTACTGAACCTGAAAAAATAAAATAAAAATTAATAAGATAAACTGTGCGTGATTTCTAATACAAATAAATAAATATATGTGAGAAATATATAAAGAGAGAATTAACCAAATAATAGGATGCTCCATGCTGAAGAGGTTGGAGGGTAAGGCCCCACTCATCAGTTAAAACGGGATGGCCGGAGGAGTGGAGGAGGACAGCTTCATCGCCGAAAGCCTCCCTTATGTTGAGAGGTCCGGCGATCACCTCGTATGCCACGTCATTAATAAAAACAGTTGACTTTGCAACTGCAGTCAAAGCAGCATTATTATATCATTAATTATTTATTTATTGATACTAATGCCTTTAATTAGACCAAGAAAAATTGCTTATTCTACAAGTTTCTCTTAAAAATCAGAGAATATATATATATATATAAAGAAGCTTATATAAGACCACTCAATTGATGAAGAAATTATTCTACAGCTTCGAGGCCAACTAAAATGTGCAACATCACTCGACACACATCTTAGTACCGGTACCTAGCAAAAAAATGATGTGGCACATTCTAGTTGGCATCTAAACGGCGTCTGGTATCCGCACAGAATAATTTTTATGTGGACTATTCGGTGTCACACATAAGAATTTTAAAAATGTATAGTATATTTCATTGTGATTTTATTGGGTAGCTTTTAAATGCTTAATTTACATAGATCTAAATTAAGGAAAAATTTAATATACTGAAATTCCCAAAAACACTATTAATAAAACAAGTCTTAAATATTTTAACACCATAATGGAGTTATTACTATTGAAATCAACATGCAATAAAAGATTGATTTATGAAGGCTACAATTGTGAATTAAATAAATTGCAAAATTATTAAATAAGAAATTTTTTTGAAAACAATTGTCATTATTATAAATTTGTATTGTAAAATTAATCTCTTTCTATTTATCACACTTTAGAAAATCTGATTCTAATAAAATTTTAACCTTTATCATAAAAATTTCTAGAAAATAAAAAAAATCGTCAAATGTAAGTGTGATAATTATATGAAAATCAAAGTTAACAACATAATTTTCAATATAAAAATTATAGTTTTTTTTTAAGTAAAATGATGAATTATATGATAAAGTATGTGATTTAAATTTATGAGTAAAATTTAAATATATAATATAAATTTTTAGGTTTTTATATATCTAATACTTAAATCTCTATATTTATCTAAAGTAAAAATATACTTTTATGCATATCATTTGATTTAATTTATAGACATGAAAAGAAATTAATATATATATACACATATAAGATATAACAATAACTCAGTTAAGATTACTTTCACAAGTAAGGAGTTACGTAGAGAGAAAATGAGGGGGATTACGTGCTCGAAGGGATGGATCAAAGAGAAAGAGAGAGAGAGGGAGAGAGATGAGATTTTTTCCTTTCCTTTAATGCCATGCACACGTCCAATCTAGGAAACTGAGCCATAATGCGATGCGTGAAAGAACCATCTAATGTCAACAAAATAATGAAAGACAAGCAAGTGAACTACACACCGTCTCTACTCAATTTTCTTTTTAATTTCTCTTTCTATGCATCTCTTCCATCTTCTCCATCTTTTCAACTCTCCTTCTCTCTCTCTGCACAACACTGTCACACATGAAACCCTCTCGAGAATCTCTACTGACATGACTACACGCCACAGTTTCCTTCGATCCATCCACTCAATCTTGTTTATACATGACTCCGGTCCCCCCTCCATCTCTCTCTCTATATCCCTACATGTCTTCCTTATAAAATCTCTCTCTATTCACTACATGAAAAAGTTTATGAGGAAGTTAGAGTTCTAGCACTAATTGAATAGAAGTATATTCTGTTTAATTTTCAATTTAAATTTGAGTATAATAACTTATTTTAATTTTATTAATATTTGAAGTTCAATGCTATAAATTTGAGCATATGATATTCATTCTAACTTTACTTATATTTAAGCTTTCAAGTTCATCTAAAAAATAATCAAATATTAACACTTCTAAGAGTTCTAACATCCGAACCTACAAATCAAGCGCTTACAAAAATAATAATAATAAAAAACAGAATAGAAAAAGCCAGATATGAACGCCAAATCGCAATAAAATGACAAGAAATAAAGCAAGAGATAGACAAAACACCAAAAAAACACAGAAACAGAACAGAAACAAAGAAAGATAGAAGAAGAAATTCCAAATAAGTTAACAGTAGTATATCTAAAGTACCTTGTATCTCATTCACAGTACTCGCTGTAGCTGTAGCCATCGCAGTTGTCATATTCGCTGAAACGACACAGGCAATTGAAGCCGAATCAGTACTAACAGAGCCAATATTCTTGCCCGGCATAATTTCTTGCAATATAATATCTCCCCAAACTGCCGGCGATCCTCCGGCGAGTTCGCCGGAGGAAAGTTGGTAGCTTGGCTGACTCGTCGGAAGAAGAACAGAAGATTCTAAGCTGAGTTCAGGCATCAAGATTGGAGCTTGGAAGAGATTCTGATCGAAGAAGGAGCTTAGAGTCGGAATAGTAATCTGCTTATTGTTAGAGCCGGAAGAGGAGGAAGACGAAGTCGATGATGAGGTAACGGAAGTCAACGGCGGCGGGGGCAGAGCCGTTGACTTAGCTGCGGCGGCAGTTGACTTTAGATGGCGTTGTTTGTGCTTGCTACGAGATTTGCGGTTTTGAAACCAATAGAAGACGTTTGCGTCGCCGACTTGACCGTAGATCTGGAGCTGAGAACGGATGCGGCGTATTTCGTCACGTGGAGGATTTACCATACCAGAGTTGAAAATGGATTCTAGAATCCTAATCTGTTCGGGTTTTGGATTCCAGCGAGGTTTTGGTTCTGGTGTTCTTTCTTCGGATCCTGTTATATATATACCATTAACACAAAATAAGCTTTGGTTAAGCCATAACTGTAATAATAAAATTTGATGCATGATGATGAAGAAGAAAAATTGATGAAGAAGAAAGATCAGGTTTTCTAATTGTAGATATAATATGAAGGCATGATGCGTTTTGCTTAACCTCGAATCATAATAATATAATAGTATGCATGATGAAGAAGGGAAGAAAAGAGATTATACATCATATATATGTATTCCATTTACGCAAAATAAGCTTTGCTGAAACCCTAACCCTAATCCTGTTGTGTTATACAAGATGCAGATGGAAAATCAGGTTTAATGTCACATAACTTAAAAATATTTTGCTTAAACCCTAATCCTAACCCTAAAATATGCTACCTAATGAAGAAGGATCACACTGAGCCGTATAAAACCTGAATTTTCTGCCTTCTTTGTAGCTTAGATCAAAAATATTTTTGTCGTTTGTAAGAAAAAATAATAATAAAATCATGATGAGAGAGGAAAACAAGTAGATTTTGTGAGTCACAGATATTAGTGTTTAGGGATCGGACTCTCACTATGAAGATGAGAGTTCTGCATACTAATTATTAGACCAGTGCGAAAAATGAAAACTTAGAATATCATACATTTTTTATTTTTTTTTAACTTAGAATATCATACATGATGAAGAGGAAAAACACGGTTTTAAAATACTCTATGGCCTCATAATCAGCCGCTGTCAAGGTATGAGTTCGAGCAGAATAACTATTTGCTCAATACAAAAAATACATAACCCTATCATATCAAACATAATTAAGAAGAAAAAAGAGTTTTAGCAAAGCTCTATGATCACTCTATTTGAGGCTTTAACTCTTATAAAAATTAATAGAATTCATGCACACTAATGAATGAACATATAGATACATATGTGAAGAGAGAGAGAGAGAGAGAGAGAGAGAGAGAGAGAGAGAGTAGTAGGGTGATGATATGCAGTTATAAAATATTTCTATGTAGATATACCTGAGGCATAGGAGTTAGGCTTCTGGCAGTGAGCTGATAAGAGAGAGGAGTGGTTGATGTCATGCTGCCATTGAAGGTGGGAAGAAGTGCAGGAAGGTTTGGACTTGAACAAGCTCGGCCAGTGCCTGTTTGATGAAGCCATGATGATACTGATGATGAGTAATTTGAGTCTTTCCGTTTGTTCTGGGGGGACCTCTCTTCCTTCTTTTGTAGGTATAAGGAACTTATAGAGCTAAAGATCTCTCTCTTTCTCTCTCTCTTTCTCTTTCTCACTTTCTTTCTATAATATAACTGCTTGTCTATCTAGAATGAGAGAGAGAGAGGGGGGGAGAGGGAGTTTCTGATAGCTTTTTCTGCGTTGGAGACAGACAGAAAGGTTCTCACTCAACTCTTCCTCTTATAAAAGCTTCCACCTAACCTTGCATTCATTTACAAACAATTAATGAGGTAGAAAGAGAATGAGAAAGAGGGTGGGGAAAGTTAAGATGGGTTGTTAATAAAAGGGGTAACAGTTTTTTACACACCTCCCGAAGAGCAAACATGCATAGAAGCCAATTAAAACTATAGCAACAAGAAACTCCTGTCAAACCCTAACAGCAACATAAATGTCATAAGGGAGATGATGAAACCAAGTTATCTGAAGTTGGCGAGCAAACGAAACCTAATTTAAATGTAGAAAGAAAAAGATAGAGAATTGAAAATAATCAATGCAAAAAATTTCAGGCGTTTTTCAACCGGTAAATAAGCATTTTCGACGGGGCTTTTACCAATAGATGCAATTCATTGGAAATTCAAACAACCATTTTTTTTTTTACCTGCCTGCGGATTTCGTCTATTTGTAGCGTCAAATTGATTACTAAGTTATTTTCAATTTTATTAGAATTTGAAATTATAATACTAAGTTAAATGGTATTATACAAAGACTGCACCACTATTTTATAAGAAATTTTGAACATTTAAAAGTAAAGTTTTGAAAACATATGAGATATTATAATTTTTTTATTTAGATTATACAACTACCATTCTAACATATTTGAATGAAACATTGCCGTTATCAATGAAATTTCTAAAAATTAACAAAAAATTACAATAGTTGTTTAAAAAACAAAATGATGAAACAGCCATTCCAAATTGATCCAAGTGTAGCAAAGTAGAGCAAAACTTAGTCTGCACAAGATAAACTCTGAAAGAAAAATTGAAAGATTTAAGTATGCGTGATTAAATTTGTTAATATAAAAGAAAAAAAGAGAGAGAGAGAGAGAGAAAAGAGTACTATATATTTCTTTAGAAACTTGCTTTGTGTGAGGACCCATACCTCTATGTGGGCTTTTCATTTAAGGCGGGGACTCAGAAGTACACTGGAATTCCCTCGTATGCCAAGCAAGAAAGGGTGTGAGGACAGCTTGTGCTGAGGCTTTTATTAGTACCACAAGCAGAGAAAGGAAAAAGAAGGAAACCTGTGGAAAAAAGGAAGAGAAGAGGATAGGAGGATGAAGATGGGCTATATTGCTTTACAATTAATGCATGGGTCCTTCTTTTGATCTTTATCTCTTTATCCCGTAAAAAAAGAAGAAACAGAATGGAAATTATTTTGTTTTTTGTATGAGACAAGGGTGAGTTAGATTTTGCTTTGGGGGGCAAAGAGTTAAGTGAAGGAGGGATTATTCTAATGAGAAGAGGTTGTTGTGAGATTTAATGGAGGAAGGTTTTCAAGGTCAACAAGATGTGGGGGCACGAAAAGAGGATTTGATTGGGAAATGGTGTGGGCTGCTAGTAATTGCACATTTGTGTTATTTGGGGCTTAGTGAGGGAGCCTTTTTTCCATTGACTCGAGGGGTTTTTTTCATGCACATGCACTCTCTCTTGTTCTTTTCATTATATATATATATATATAGAAAAATATTTATTTAATTTTAAATAAGTTTATATGAATGATATTTTTGATGTGATTTGAATATTTAAATATTATATAAATAAATATGAAGATTAAAACCTTGGTTTAGAAATTTTTTTTTTAATTAAACCCACAGTAGGGGCCTACGCGTTGATATAATTTAAACGGTTACAAAAATCCTTAGAAGGGTCCTCCAGCTTTCTACTGCTCCAAGGAGCTACAAAATAAATCAAAATAAACCCTAAAATCCAGAGGTCCCTTTTTCTACAATTACAATAAAAATAAGGATAAAATCTAATATTGTAAACCAAAAAAAGGAAGCTTAGATAGTAATCATTCAGCTCACACTTCCTGCAAAAAAGGAAAACCACAATCCAAAAAAATAGACTGAAAAAAGTAATGAACTTACAAAAGTTTTGCAGAAGCAACTCCACATTCTCAGCAAAAACCAAGCCATAAGATCTGCAAAAGCAGCTCTTGAAATTTAAGTTAGAAACCTCACAATAGAGAACAATTTTATACCACATACTATTACCATCATTAATTTTCCACTCAAAAGTATACCCCGAAAACCTTCTCCAAAACAGAAAATCAACCCAAGTAGCGTGCAAGTAAACCTTCAAATTCCCCACCATCCAAAAAACCCAGTAATTCAACTTATAAGCCCAGCCAAAAAGACTACCAGAAAAGTAACAGTTATCGTCCCAGCACCCCTTACCTCCACAATAACATAAATGACCAAGCATCAAATCAGGAAAACAACCACCAGCCAACAGATCATCAATAAGCTCCTCTAACCAGCATAAAACTTCACCCAACCAGCATAACACCCTACCACCAGCCAACAGGTAAACAAGACGAGCCCCCATCCAGCCAACAAGCATTGAAAATAAAAACAGAGCAACCCCAAAAAATTAAATATGATGGATATAAGAGATACCAAACTTATCCATACATATCATGCCAACAAGAGGAACAGGCAAATTATTCAAATTATGCTCCTGAAACACCCCCCTGTGGGCACCGAACTTAGCCAGCCATTCGGCACAAGCGTTAGCCTCACGATTAACATGCGACATAGTAAAGTTTATATTAGCCAGACAGATTTAATTTTCCTAATAGTGTACAGATCATTCAAACACCCCACAGAATTGGCAGACATTACATGAATGAGAAGTTAAGAATTTACCTCAATGTTGATAACCTGGTAACCATGCTTCATACAAATCTGAAGCCCCTGGTGTAAAGCCATGAGCTGAGCCGACAAAACAGAGCAAGGCAACAGAGGACCAGAAAAAAATACCCAAAGATTTGCCGTTATGATCTCTAACAATACCGCCCAAACCCACATTATTAGCATTAACAGTCCCAACAATATTCAATTTAACAGCCGGATGCTTCGGTTTAACCCATCTGACCATACCAGCATTACAGTTGATAGCAGAATCATCATTCATAAACATAAAGCCAAAATGAGAATCTAGCCAGTTAGAATTGATAAAATGTTTACTAGAAATAAGATTAACCGACCTTAATTGCAAAATTTTATCATGAATATTAGAAATGATTTGATTAGCATCCATTTTTATCCCATTGTGCTTAGAATCATTTCTCCCTTTCCACAGGAACTAAATATCACAAGGCACAGATTCCCGAAGTTTATTAATGTCCCAACCCCCATTCAAAATAAACTCCTTAACTTTACTAATAATAATATTATGGGTATTAAGATAGCTAGCAATAGAAGAAGAACACATCCAATGGTCTTGCCAAAAGGATATATCCCCTTTGCCGATACCCCACTGAATGTTCTTCTCTGCTTCCCACTTAACATCAGAAAGCCTCTTCCAAACAAAAGAGTCATCAGTTTTAAAATTGCAAGACACAGAATGAAGCTTCTTACAATATTTGGCTAACATAAACCGAGCCCATAAACTCTCCTGAGCACGAAAAGAGAACCATAACTTATGAGAAAACGCATTGACAATATCCACCACAGACTTGCATCCAAGAAATCCCTCATTTAACTTACCTCATATGTTAACCCATGAAGCCCAATTAATACAATTCTTGTTGTTAGAAGCCCCCCCAAAAAAACTTATTAATCATTCTCTCCATACGTAGACAAACATAAATAGGAGGTTTCATAGTATGAAACATGAATATAGGAATAGAATTTAAAACACTTTTAATTAAAATCAATCTGCCTCCAAAAGAAAGAAAATTCGACGAACAATGCAATAACTTTTTTTGAAAGATTGTAAAAATATTTTCAAACAAAAAATCTTCTTCCTACCTTTAAATAAAGGAGTACCAAGATATTTTATAGGCAATAAATTTTGATTAAAGCAACAAACATTCTTGATTATGTTATTTCTGTTCCTATTAATATTACCACTAGTGATAAAACTGCTCTTCTCCCTACTAATAGATAGACCACTTATATTCTGGAAGGAGGAAAGAAAATCAACCATAATTTTAACATTTGTAATAGAAGTATTAGTAAAAATAATAAAATCATCAGCAAAACTAAGATGAGTAATAGGAAAACCACTCCTATTACGAAAATTAAGCATATGATGAGTTCTATAAAGCTTCTCAATAACTCTGGACAAATACTCCATAGCAATAATAAACAAAGCCGGCGATAAAGGACCCCCTTGCCTCAAACCATGCTTGGAAGAAAAGAAACCATGCTTTTTACCATTAACGATAACAGAAAAGAAACAAGAGTCAATACTATTATTGATAAGGTTGATGAAATTACTATTGAAACCAAACATATTCAAAATATTGTAAAGAAAATCCCACTTCAGATTATCATAGGCCTTAGTAATGTCAAGTTTAAAAATAATGTTGCCACCATTACCTTTAACATTGAGATCATGCACCATCTCTTGAGCCAATAAAATTTTATCAAAAATACTTCTACCTTTAACAAAATCAGTTTGATTAATAGAGATAATCCTAGGTAAAATGAGGGACAATCTAATAGCAATAATTTTAGCTACCAACTTGTTGAAAAAGGTACACAAACTAATAAGTCTAAACTCATTCCAAAAATTAGGATTATCTTTTTTCAGTATAAGAACAATATTAGTAGAAGCAAAGAACTTAGGTTAAACCTTACCTTTTAAGAAATCATGAACATCATCTACAACATCTTTCTTCACAACCTCCCAAGAACGAACAAAAAATTTGGTAGTGAACCCATCGGGCCCGGCAACCGAGTCCCCATTCATCTTTTT